CGTGTTCCAAGGGAGGGGGGGGGGGAGCCACCAGAAGCTCAGAGGTTTTAATATAGGTTTTCCCGCCCAACTTCGTAAACTTAGCATCCGAATTAACGTTACGTTCATTCAAGTTCGTGCGAAATTGAATGACTATGTAGATCAACATTCAAAAAGCTAATTGCGTCGTTCAATTTGATTTAGTAGCATGCGATTTCATACTCTTGTCACGGAGAAGTGCAAAACGAGCATTCAATTTAGAAAAGCGTGCAAAGAGCATTCAAATTCGCGCCGGACAGACGGTGGTATGTATTCGAGCATTCAATTTCGTGATTAGGCATCCATATGTGACATTTGTGCATTGCTTTTCATTTGATGTTAATTTGTCACTTAATATACTTCTGTTTGAATAATTTAATGCTAAGTTTACTTGTAGGAATGATTATGCGTATTCGTTAGCAGATATCTGTCATGACACAGGTAACTGTCCCCAGAGAAGGCGCACAATTTGTGACTTCTCTTCTTCTTGTAAGAACAAGCTATATAATTATACACAGATCCTGGACAGCGGTAGAGTTGAGCTTTAGACATGGCCATGATGGAAACATAATACAATGGTGAATAAAGAAAAATATGTGAAATGAAAAGAAAGAAAGATTACCCACTCAATCCAGATTGATACAGAAAAAAAAACATTTAAAAAATAACTTCATTTATAATGAAATATATGAAGACATGACTGTATAAAGAAATGTTTCATCAAAAATAAAGATCGACAGAAAGAGAAAATATTGAATGCAATATAAATATATCAGACAAATAAGAAGATTGTATAATGTGAAATCATGTCAGAAAAGATCATAGAGTAAAATAATAAACAAATGAACATGAAAAAGTGAATATCCGAATAAACATCGAGCCTCATACAATAATTATGAGGTCTAGTTTTAATTTGAATGACCCGATTGCGAAAGAGGTTGCCCATAGACGAAAATGAAACCGCAATTCGACAAAGAATTGTCCTCCCACTCAACTTTGGCGAAATCGAATGACGCTAACGCATTTCCAAATTGACTGAACCAAACGTTAATTTGAATGTGCTTGTTTCGAAAATTCGGTGACTCGAAACGAAATTGAATGCAAAAAGTTTAAAAATGAAACAGGGAAGCAACGAGTGAAGAAAATTTGCTCGAACATGAATGCACGTTAGTGAAATTGATCGCTGCTTTGACGAAATTGGCCGGGAAAACCTATATTTAACGACGGTCAGATGAGCATCCAGGGGCCGTCTTAGGGCCCTTGGTGGGGTCCAGGGGGCAGAGCCCCCGGTAGCTCAGGGGTTTTAGGTATTTAATTACGGTCAGATGAGCATCCATGGGCCTGCCTTAGGGCCCTTGGTGGGGTCCAGGGGGCGGAGCCCCCGGAAGCTCAGGGGTTTTAGGTATTTAATTAAGGTCAGATGAGCATCCAGGGGACCGCCTTAGGGCCCTTGGTGGGATCCAGGGGGCAGAGCCCCGGAAGCTCAGGGGTTTTAGGTATTTAATAACGGTCAGATGAGCATCCAGGGGCCCGCCTTAGGGCCCTTGGTGGGGTTCCAGGGGGCAGAGCTACCGGAAGCTCAGGGGTTTTACGTATTTAATTACGGTCAGATGAGCATCCAGGGGCCCGCCTTAGGGCCCTTGGTGGGGTCCAGGGGGCAGAGCCCCCGGAAGCTCTGTGGTTTTAGGTATTTAATTACGGTCAGATGAGCATCCAGGGGCCCGCCTTAGATCCCTTGGTAGGGTCCAGGGGGCAGAGCCCCTGGAAGCTCGGGGGGTTTGAGGTATTTAATTACGGTCAGATGAGCATCCAGGGGCCCGCCTTAGGTCCCTTGGTGGGGTCCGGGGGCGGAGCCCCCGCAAGCTCTGGGGTTTTAAGCATTTAATTACGGTCAGATGAGCATTTTTTATACCTTATTTGTGACATTGGCAGGTCATTTATTTTTTTCTCCGTCTTTCTTTCTTTTTCTCTTTAACATACTTTTTCATAAAGGAGTGGGGGGGGGGGGGGGCTCGAGCCTTGCCACTTTGCAGACCATGACATAAAGGCTTCTAAATAAGCGTATTTTCGCCTAACTGTAATTTGGGAATTTCTTATTTTCCAACAAACGCATAAAAAGGTATGACTTACAAAAAAATGGAGAAAAAATGCCGGAAAATCATGTCACAACATCAACATTTGTAAATCACTTGTTTCGAATAAGAAATACACCACCCCCCCCCCCCCCTCCCCATCAGTACGCCAGCGTTCAGGGGCTCATGTCTTCTCGCCCCTATTACAAAAAAACGGACACGCTTTCCCATTCTCGCACAATATGTCCACGATATATGCGCGTATCGCTATTATAGAGACCTCCATTGATAAATACCGTGTAGGTGACATGCGCAATGTTTATGAAATTTAATTCCTGTGAACTTTCCTTTTTCTTTGAATGGAATTGTATATGTGATTTAATTCAGGTTTTTATTATTGTTACGTTCTTTTGGATTAAAAATACAAACCATGTTTACTCCTTTACTGTTTTGTTTTTTTTGGAGGGGGGGGGCGTTTTGGGGGGGCAAAAATGCGTTTTGCCCCCCCACTATTTTGACTGGGGGGGGCAACTGCCCCCCCTGCCCCCCCCCCCACTTCCGGCGCCTATGATAAGCATAGTAGCATACACATGCTTTAGCAGTCACGCAAAACACACATTGGCAAATTATTATTCAATAAAATCTGAGAATGTATACCATTATCTAGATTTATTCTTTTTTAATTATTTTTAAAATAATTCCATAAATTGGGGTAAAACAAAAATATTCCAACTATATGGGCGACAGTGTAGAATTGGAGATTATAGAAATAAATGTTTTGTTCTCTTAACTAATAATTATGTCACCCGCATTATTGGCTCCATACCATACTGCTCGCAAGATATTCAATTTTGTAAACGTTTCATCAAGGGCCTCATGACCTTGATCCGCTTTATCACAAGGGCACGGCGATCTCGACAGAGCCTCAGAGGGAAATCCCCTGTATGACTTGACGCCCTGTGATTGGCTAAAAGTACCGTGGCATGCGCTTGAGGTATTGGGTAGGCGTGTTGAAAAAAATGACTTATGGCCTAGTTTATTGACAGATCCAGCAGAGAAAGCCATGTAGGCCTACTGGTCGATCAGCGCACGTATAATCCCACTTCATGATTTTCTGGAGAAAAAAAGAAGATATATTGCATAACATTTACCAGTGATGGTACGTAACTTTGCCACAATAGAATTATGGCAAAGTCACTCAACATGTCAGGCGCGTACACAGGGGGGGGGGGGGGGGGGGGGGGGGGGGTAAACCTCCCTTTGGTATTTTTTATGTGTGTATTTTTGAGGAAAAAAAATTATACCAATGGCTGACCTAAAAAAGTTGACCTTACCCACCTCCCAACGGAGCAAAATGTCAATTTTTCAAATTTCGATACCAAAAAAAAAAAAAAGTGTCCTCTTACCCCCCCTCCCCTGCTTATTCAGAGGCTGGCTGAGTCGTTGCGATTTTTTGGGACTACAAAAAAAAAAGTGTCCTCTTAACCCCCCCCCCCGCTTATTCAGAGGCTGGCTGAGTCGTTGCAAAATGTTTGGCCCGATTTGAACCCCCCCCTCCCCCCTTGAAAAAATCCTGCGTACGCCACTGCAACAGGTTATATAATGGGGCCCCTGTAGCATTAAAACCAAACATTAAAAATATAAAGAAGGGAGAAAGATATGGATATATATCATTTTTTTTTTTTTTTCTGGGGACATCCCGGGGGGGGGGGGCTTGTACGGTGACTTTGTACCCCCCCCCCCATGCAGACCCTATTCCCCCTCCTCCGATCCCTCCATGAAGGCCATACATAATATACATAGGCCTACTAGATCTGAGGCCGACGCCTCCGATTTGCGTATAAATTATGACAGTGCACAATAATTGATGGATTGAAAATATCAATTCTCCAGTTTTGTGATTTATTCTGTGAATATATGATTTAAAAAACACAAATATTACATCTGACATTTTATAACATGTTTTATTTATGACAGTGCACATTATGATGGATTGAAAATATATTCCATTTTGTGATGTGTTCTGTGTAATTTTGTGTATATTTGATTTAAAACAAAAATATTACATCTAACATTACAGGGCCCCGTAGGGCCTAGCATATTATTGTAGTATACATGTAATATTTGTCATACTTTTAGGCTACATGTCAACCAATTCAAAACTTCTCTTAAGACATATTTATTCAAATTTTCTGTTGATGTTCACATTGATGTATATTTCTTATGTATTGTAATTTTTAGATTTAATTGTAATTGTTTGTTTTGTTCAATATTTAATTGTTTATCATTATATTTTGTTTGTTATAGCGCTTAGAGAATGCGGTGGTAAGCGCTTTATAAAAGCACCGTCTGCACGGGGGAAAAATATTATGTAGGCCCATGGAGTTACTTGAACATTATTGTTATCACCGTGCGAGTAACTCCATGGTAGGCCTAAGGCCTACCTGTTGTAGGTTTTTTTAAATGGTCATTCAAATATTCACCGATACTCTCAAACAAGACTGTAGCCCTCATTTAGTCATTATATACTCGTATTAAAAACCAAGCTAAACTGAAGTAAAACAAAATATGAGTCATTATGCATTATCATATTCCGGTTTGAATTTCACATCAAAAGTGAACAAATTCCGAGGGATGCCTGCCTGCTCGAATCATCATCAACGATGGGAAATTTCCGTGACGTCAGAGTTACCGATGAGTTCGTTGCAGAAAATGTGTTTAAGGAGCTCAGATATAATTTTTTTTTAAACTGTTTTATAAAAAAATGTTAACACTTTAAAATGTTATAATAATATTTTAATACAAAATAAATATTTAAAATTAAAGAATAAATAATAAATTATATAGATAAATAGTTAAGTCTATATACAAAAATAATCAAATTGGCCATTAGTCGGTGCGCTGTAGCTAGTTGTATACAAAATAAATCCAAAATCAGCTGCGCGGGGTTCGAGATTTTCAACGTGTTCATCATCATTGCGAATCCGCTATATATAGCAAGTGCATTGCAGTGGAAATCTACCGAGAAGCGGCGCCGGGAGTACACAGCTACAGTCGACTCCTTGCCGGTATCAGTATCACTGCACTGAGAAAGAAATCAATGCCTAGGAAAGTCTTTTTCATAAGCAAGACAGTTTAGACGCCAAAATTAAGTTTAAGCCAAACATTTGACGTACGGTTATAACAGTTTAGCAACTTGAAACTGTCAGTAACGACTTACTAACGGTGTCTTCCAATCCGACCGAGTGCAGTGTAGTCACGTCAGTACAGCTAGCTCCCGCCAGTGTAACGGCCGAGTTGTAGGGAAGGCGATCGAGAAGATTTGATCACAATGGTTCGCTTGACTGTGCGCTTACTCGCTATGGCGAAGAAGAATATGCAGGCTCAGATGGAATACTACTCAAAGTTTTCCCCATCTCCTCTTTCTATCAAGCAGTTCATGGATTTTGGTAAGTTCATATTTAATTACATCTCACATTCCCTGATTTTTGTGGTGGACATGGATTGGTGGAGGGACTTGAATGACATTCATCGTTTCATGATTCTAATTTTCTATTTTTAAACTTGTTGTAGACTACTTGTAGATTCTAGATCTAGACTAGACTCTAAGACTAACATTTTACAATCTCTAGACTAACTAAGTTTTAACTTTTGACTTTTGTTTATCTTATTTTTGGTTTATTGCGAAGTTCACTTGCAGAAACAACTTGTAGGAATAAATGTTGTGGATATAACTAAATGAATATTCTTACCGTTATTAATAATCTTCTGAGCTAAAAACGCAAGTGTAGAACAAAGCTGGAAAAGGAATCATGCAGAGGAAGAATGGTGCGATATAGTAGCGAGGTGATGACTCAGCTGCATACACACGTGGAGCGCGACTAGCTAGCTAGCGAACGCGAATGACGAAGGCACACAAGCCTTACAGTTCACACTTTCCCGAAATAAACTAGAGGAGGTAGGTCTAAATCTGATTTGCGATAGAGTCCTCAAAAGAACGATGTTGATGAAAACTCACTATTAATGTGAAACCAACGAAATAACGCTTGTTGTAAAGTCCGAACTCTTCCTATAAAAACGCATCCGAGTGTCGAAACTGAAGACAGGAGGAGTGAGTAAAATTTGTGTGTGGAGACTTTTCCAAGTTTGCTAAAGATGTGGTGATTGGCTTATTAAAACAATAAGGTGCGGTCCAATTGGAGTAACTAAAATAACACTCTTGTTGCTGGGTGGTTCCACGGATGAAATTAACTAAGAGAATGTTTAGAATGTGCAGCTGTAGATTGTTATTGTTATTGAAGCTGGCTGAACTGAAAGTACTAACGAAAGGTATGCTTAAAATGCTGAGTATTTACAATGTTGGTAAACATTTGTGACCTTAGAAAAGTTCAAGTCACTACAAACTAACTACCGTACAATCTATGAGTAGAATCCATGACTGATGAATCATAACATTACAAGTTACAATGCATAAATCTAGACTCTGAGTCTAGAGTTCTTTTCAAGTCATTCTGTAATGCCTGTGTAAGATTTGTTTAAATAAAAGGGTCTATCAAGTCTAACTGTCTACTCTAGACTATTAACTTCTAAAGTCTAATACAAGCCTAAAAAATCCAAGTCTAAAAGTAAAAAACCCAAGTCTAAGCGCTAAGCCTCGGCTACAGCTACAGTCTATTCAATTCTGGGATATTATATTCCGCTGAGACTGAATCTCTCTCCTAATACAGTAATAGACCTAGAATAGATCTATACAAAGTTTGATAAAAACACAAAATATGTCGACCAGCCCACAGGTCCAAGCAAACCAATTATTTCTGTCGTCATTACTATTGACTTGTGCATGGCATGAATTAAATCTTGACTTTGACTTTGCAGTTGACTGAAACTAACAAAAGTAACAACAACATGGCCAAAATATGAGTATTGTGAATTTCAACTTGATTAAAAATGTCAGTGAGGCAAGTAACCCAATGTTAATAGGTCTCTTTAAATTAAAAGACTACCCGTAAGTCAACTGGCTGACGGAAGGTTTGACGAGAAATGAACAAGGACTTTCTGACTTTATATTATTCATATAGAGTGATGAAGTGTGAAGTCATCAAAAAATCTATTTTTAGAATGTCCCAATTTTTTCTTCATTTTCCAAAAGAGCATCAAAAATAATGTCCAAGTGTTTAAAACCAATTGAATATGTTAAGTAATAGCTGAGATATGACCATCTGAATACATATATGTCCTATGGGAACTCGGTGTTATACATTGTATGCTCTGTATTCTTGTTCATTGTTAATTTGGTTTACTTGTAGAAACATGATTATACCCCTAGTCAAACTTGTAAGAGACAATTAATAATGATATAAAATGCTGGCTATTTGAATACCATATTTCAGAAATATGGTATTCTTGTTCATTATTGTTCATTGTTTATTTGGTTTACCACTTGTAAAAACATGATTATACCCCTAGTCAACGTGAAAGAGGCAATTGATAATGATATAAAATGCTGGCTATATGAATACCATATTTCTGAAACTGAATGTGTTCTTGCCAGTTGCCATACACTATGCACAGATATGCATACGATTACGTGCATTGTAAGATGTACACAACACAAGGTGACCTTCACAGACACACATCTGCCAACTCCCACATCCAGCAGCCAATCAGAGATGAGTATTGAGTGCCAAGCCCCCAAAGTAAATACCAATGCACAATCACAAAGAAGTCAGTGAATGGGCTCTTGTGTATACTGCCACTTTCAGGGAGAAGAATGCAGGGCATGTCATGTGCAGTTAATGCACAGCACTTGCGTCAATTGCTCTTTGCATATTTACATGTAATAGACTGCAGTGCATTCATAAACATGATTGCAATTTCATTATAGCCTACAGCAAACTAGATTTTGTTGTTGATAAAATTGACTCCACAGCACGCTCCGTTGTATGTAATGTCATATTAAAATTATAATTCACAGTCTGCAGTCTTTTTTTGTTGGGGGGGGGGGGGGGGGAAGCTAGAAAAAGAATCACACCAGAAGCTGTACTAGTTTAACTGTACATACATTAACTACATACAAAAAGTGCTTGCTGTGTGCTCTTACTCTAGTTGTTCTTATTTGTGTCCTGAGCTATGGCTTGACCACTCAAGCTACATGTATTCTGTTCTAAAATTATTAATTTGAGTGTGATCCAAGTATGCATGTTAGTTTGAAAACAAAATATATAGTTCAGAGCCTTCCTTCACCAGGGTTGGTACGTTTAAAACACTGCATTAAAAAAAAAAACATTATAAAAGAATATGATTTAATCATTTAAACACACCCATAGAGATGTGTGTTATAACTTTGATATATGCATTCATTTTTTCAATTATTATTTTAGTGCTCATATTACCAGAATTACCAGTACTGGTTTTGTATTTATTCTTGGCTGAAAAAGTGTTTTGTGGCAAGAACACAACCCAATACTAATAGATAGACAGATTGATGCCCATATGGCGTTGATCAAATATTGACATTTTAAAACAAGTACCACCTAGGCTCCTCATATCGATTGAAAATCACCGGCATGGAATCATTTCTCTAGTTAGGTTCACACAACTTCAAGTTAAGGTCCTGGTTTTAAACTTCAAAAATATCTTGGAGTCAGGGGCCATGTGAACGCACTCACGGTTACAAAACCTTAAATTTCCTCAAAAGTTATGATCCACGAGTGATCTTGAGGTTAGCGCATTTACTATAAGGAGCAAGGTTTTCTCACTCAAAGTTGCATACTGTCTGGACGCAGTTAACTTTGGGGTTATGCCATCTTTCGGTCCCATGTGAAGTTGTGAACCCTCGTCGTAAGTGATCGTTGGGTATAACTTTGAAGCTTTGCAGGTTTAAAACTATGATGGTCACTTGTGATAAAGCGTGTGAAGTTGTGAACATGAATATTGTTACATACCATATGTTTTTGTTTTTTCCTCCACATTTTTCCCTCCACAGGGATTTTATTGACTTTCATTTGAAACAAATTAATATTCAATGTAATTTACATTCATAACATTAACAAAATTGGCTTCTCAAGATACAAGTATTTTTAAACTATTGAGTTAATAGAAAGCGAACATACCATACCATATGTTGGCATCATGTTAACAGATGATACCGGTAATTGTCCTTTGCTATACATTTTTTCCTCCTTTCTTATTTGATTGATTACCACATAAGCAAATTACAATTTGCTAATGTTTCTGGCTAAAATGGGGGTTGTTATAATGATGTAAAGTGTAATACGCATCACATTTCCTTATCTTACAACCCACTACACAGAGCTCATTAAAGGTAAAGACCAGTTATGGTCATGCGATTGCATTGTGAAAGAAACGTTGTGGAATCGATCAGAAAAGGTTGATCATCTAGCATCTAGCATCTGCAAGGTTCTGGAATCATCAAAATGATAAGAAATTTGGCCCATTCTTCGTAAAGTTACAAGCACTATACACAGAAAGATGTATATGGGACTACCCTATATCTCTCACAGACCATGAGAGAAACAAATTTACCAAATATATGAATTAGTAGGCGGTTTCCCGGCAAATTTTGTATCATCATGTATTAGTCAAAACATATTCTTTCACTTGATTGGTAATGAGAGCTTCCATTTCATTTTTTGAAATTGGGGCGTTTCCAATACTGGTCTTTACCTTTAAAAACGCGGAGGACCTTTGTTGCGCTTTATAGTTGCCATTCATCGACGCATTGAAAAGTGGTTATTTACTGCGTTGATACCCAAACAAGCTTGTTTGTAGTGGGGGCTACATGATGACGTGTAACAGTCATCAACAATCCTACTGACTTAAATCTAATGACGAGTTAGTCAGTGACGTCACCTCATCTGTCACATTGTACAAATGCATAGCAATTATGGCATCATGATCATGCTTAGAGTGTATATTATAGGTGCTGTTTAAACTGTGCAAATGCAGATTGATGGTAATGATTGATTGGAATTTCCTTGAAATTAGTCTACTTCTGGCACTAGATACAAATGTAGCTACCGGTTTAAAAAAACAAAACAATTATGAATCAGATTTTGAAATTAAACAATGATTTTCCCTGACTATAATATAATAACTTTTTGTTTTCTTAAACTTTTCAGGGATTGCTTCTCCTGACATTCTGTGGCAATTTAAAAACAATTTTACTACTAGAAACTGTATGAACTATGAAATTATATATTTGTACATTCATGTAGATGTGAAATTTTTACTTGTACACACGTATGTACCATTCGTCATCATTATTGTGTTTGAGTACAGTATAATTGGAATTTGACAAGGAAGTACATATAGAATGAAAGAGAAATTACTTTTGTTTGGAGGGGGGGGGGGGAATTATAATTGTACTATCATATTATTATTAGACTTGTACATGTACATGTAGATACCTGGTATGACTAGGCAAAAATGGCTTAACATCACAATATAAATTCTGGGAATCTGGGATATCCTGCTGATCATTTGAAAAAGCTTCTGTTGACCTCTCGGTCTAAATCTAGTATGTTACGCCTGTACTATTGTGACAGTCACTGTGCTAAGTACTGTATACAATGTAGTTTGACAGTTGAGTAGCTACTAGCTGCGTATATGTAAACAATTACAATACGCAATAGAATTGCCTGTTGGCATGTATGGTATGCCACTTGTTGGCGCTAGGACAATGGATGTGTGCAATTGTACATATCTCTTCCAAAATAATAATAATAATAATACCAGTAATAATGATAAATAAATTAATTAATTTAAAAAAATTAAAAAAACTTAAAACTAATAATAATGATAATAATAGAAATTTAAAAAAATTAAAATTATAGATTAAAAATTAAAAGATGAATAATAATAATTACAAAATAGAATAAATAAATAACGATAGGTTTAATGTCACATGGTAACGTTTTCGGGGATCATTTTGCTGCACTTTGTTAGCAAAATAAAAAGCATCAAAATACATTTAACAACAGAATTCACAATACTAGCATGAGCAGCTGAAACATTTAAAGGGAACAATATCTCCAGGCATTTGATATAGTGAAATTGATATACAGTATATGAGTACTACATACATGTACTATGGTGTTCATCTATGTCATGTCAGTCACAAGTTCCTTTAGTGACAGAAAAGTTGGTTGTTTTTTTTCTCAAAAAGAAAAGATCATATTGGATTTTTTACTTTTATTTGTATTTTATCCTGTTTTTATGTACCTGAACATTGCACAGTTTAAATGTTTACTTTCATGCATTTTATTAGATAAATAAACTGTGGAATGACTTAAAGTTGAAATCACTTTATCTCTTAAATCACTAGGCTGCCCCATTGTATGCTAATATGTGTGCTGCCCAAGTACATACATGTTAATTCTACAATCGTAATGAAGCGTATGTTTATTTTTCCATCAAACATTGATAAAGTACCAGTACCATAAACCTTTGATTATAAGTACTGGTACATGTTGCATATTACTGTTGCATCATAAGTTGCTCTTTCCTAACAATCAGGTTTGTTTATTTTCTTATCTCGAATCATGAAATGTATACCGTTACCTTGTCATGCTCTTGTGTGATATCATCTCATAAAAGTAAAGAATACAATACAAAAATTAAAGTCCACCAGTGTGTACCTGTACCAGTACATGTATACACATTAATATCCTACCAGTAAACATTACAATTTTAAGTTTTGTTTGTAAATACTACCTACACTTTGAAAACTTTGTCAATTTTCAATTGTCAATATCGTGTCTTTACATTTTTCAAGTACATGTGCTATTAGATAGAGTTCTTACACAGTAATAAGGGTCATTGAGGTCGATTTTTAGTTTCTCATTCCTATATGTTTCCTGTTTTCATCCTGAATCTCATTTAATACTATTTGATAATTTGGCATTTATAACATAAATAGCAATGTCAACAATTTAAAATGAAGCAATTTTTTTTTTGGTGTGTGTGAGTGTGTAATATTTGAAAGATTTTTTTTGTTAGAATTGACCTCACAGTATGGACATGTACAGCTACCATCTGAGTAAAATATTATTTATTAGATATTGTATAAACCAATTTTTTTGCATAAAGATATTTTCACAGATCAAGGATTTAACTTTTTAAGGGCAAATTGGTGAGTTGTTGAATTTAAGTCTTCAGACTTTTGTCACGTCTTTCTTTTATAATAGAACTGAAATTTAATTCAATTGAATGATATGGATGGAACATGCTCCTCATTTTTAAAATCTTGATGGGAGAGAAACCAAGACTTATTTTCTCCTGGCCTTTAGTAAACAGAAGACACGTGATGGAAATGAAGGACTGTTGACAATATATTCATGCAAACTTTGAATGGAAATAAACGATGGGAACTGTTTATTCAGTGATTTATTTTAGTCTCCCACCATTGTAAATTATTGGACTTTATCACCATTTCCTAATTTTCCTTATATTTGTGTTGCGACTCACAAGTATTTGTAACAGGCAAAGTAGAAGAAAATATGTCAAGAATTGAAACGTGACCTACTTCTGCAACAAAATTATTCATCAGCAGTTTTACTTAAAGTTCTTTTACATAACACAGCTTTTGCACTGCTTGTATTTTACTTTTAAAGCTTATCTGCCATAGTTTACATGAGGGATTAGAGCGCCCTGCAAGGTCACTGGACAGGTGGCTATCTCATCAACTCAGCTCTCAGTTAACATAAGAAAAAGAGGATCATGGGGGACCAATGGTCACCGATTAGGCATTGTTTGTTTAGTGCAGTGGGCCTTTAATGGTCTATATTTGTACATATAATTGTTTTTATTATTTTTTTATGATTTATAGGATATAGTCTATCGGTCTGATATATTTTTAAATTCTTATTGTTTGATGACGTGTTTTGTTAAATATTCAAATAGTTAAAGATAAAGTTGAGTTTTCAGGGAACATGTTTTATCTGATGTTCTTCCACACTTGCATAACAATGATAACGCTCACATGTTAGTTTTCACCTCTTCCCAGAACTCAACCTTGTCTTTAAGATGGCATTGTCCCTAGGCTTAGCATTTTATCTACTGGTATACTTTTTTAGTTTTTTTCTGCATAATCTTAATCTCACATTAACTTTGAAGTGGCTTTATTATAAAGCAGATAGTTTTAAGTACTTAATTTCTATAACAATAATGATAAGCTCTACATGTACAATGTCATTTTGTTTTGGCACAGGTGGAACAATGGATACAGTAACATGTCTACAATAAACTACGGGGTATTGTTTTATCAGAGGTTTTGAATACAGAGTGCTTATCCATCTTCCTTTTTTTCCCTTTCTTTTTCCTTTCTCTAATTTGATGACCACAGGTCAGAGTAAAGATGTTGACTCGGCCAAGTCGTTTGTGTTTCTGAGGCAAGAACTTCCAGTCAGGATTGCCAACATCATGAAAGAGATCAACCTACTTCCAGAGAAGCTTCTACAAATGCCTTCTGTCCGTATGGTACAAGGATGGTAAGATTTCAATAGGCCTGTCCTCATCAGCTCGAGATTGAAAAATATCCCGCGATTTTAACTATCCCGATCGCAAATTCTCCAGTTAATTTGCGTCTTCATCAGCCCAAAGTTGCAATTAGCGGGATATTTGGTCAAGATAATCATCCCAAGATATCTTGGGCTAGTTTGCAAAATATACCACTATTTGTCCGTTGTTTCTTCACCAGCCTGAAGACTCGCACTATGCGCGAACACTGAGCAGAATATGTAGAGCTAATTTCTCGAGCTCAAGTTTCAAGTTTTGAGGTCGAGTCTCGAGCTGATGAAGACGCGATTTGTAACTTCAGGATTATTTCCCAAATCAGAAATAGCAGACTATTTGGCAATCTCGAGGTGATGAGCTGATGAAGACATACCTAATGTGCAACATGAATAATGAATAATAAAATTGATACCCCATCGATCAGTGATTCAACACGATGGCTCATGCTACATGTATGTTATGTGGCTGTGGGCCGACTATTTCAACCATGAACAAGTATTTTGAAATATTATACTTGTCTGCAGCAAAACAATATCTTGAAAAGAGTAGTGCTGGACATGTTACAACAAAATGAAAGTAATCTTTGCAAAAAGTAGAGCATGGCGCAGCTACATTGTATGCTTGTGGCCTATAGGATATTTATTGCCAACACAAGAAATTTCTTTACTGAAGTGTTTGCCAACACAAGACATTTCTTTACTGAAGGATGGTGAAGGTTAAAGAGATAAAAGAGGTGTATTTCATAATATTACCAAGAACCTTCAAAACACCAAGCATTTTGTGATTCCAACGTTTCCTAAAGTCTCATAGAAAGGAAGTTCAAGCCTTACATCCGCATGTACAGTTGCTGATAACAAAGATGTCACTTCCATGTTTGCCACATGATCAAATGACCATATTTAGATCTACATGTACATATACATATACATGTGGTTCTCCTGTCATGTACCTTTAGTGATCAGGATTGCTCAGGCTTTATTATTGTTAAAAATGAAAGGCCCATTTTGGACAACACAGCGACTGGCCAGGCAACTATCATTTGTCTTTAACAGTTCTTGAATGTTGGAATGATGGTGAAATCTTTGCGAAAAATAGGTGACATATAGACTACTTCAGATTTTGAGACAAACTAAATAGACCAGTACCTTTTCTGGGGGGGGGGGGGGTTAAAGCAATGACTCTAGATCAAGCTTGCTTACCCTCACAGATACAGGGTAGGACTCCAAAGTTGTATGTCCCCTAAAGATTAATACTAGAACCCCATAAAGGATTGACACATGAATATATGTACATGTATGAAGATAACAAATACGGAGGGTTACAGATTAGATTAACAAACACAACCTTCTTTTATAATAAAATCATTCTATTAAAGCCTCAGTGTGGCTGACATCAAAGCTACTGTGTTCGGCAGTATTTTTGTTTTGGTCTGTTGACCTGAAACTTTGACCCTTTTTATTTGTAGAAGGCAGGAAGCTTGTGCAGATGTTCATCATCTGTCCTTCATGTGACCTTCAGTATATGTTTATGGTCTTGCTAGTTACAGTAGCTGTGTGCACCAGATTATTTTATGGAACTGTAAAGGGCAGGCAAATCATCTGCAACTTTAAAGATTCCCATTAGCCTGCAATTTTGATGCCCCCTCCTTCCTTCCCCTGTGTTTTTTTCCTAAGCATAACAAACTTTTTAGGGAGAATATTCAGATCTGTTTGTTTGTTTCCCTTGGAAGCTTCAATGATTAACAGTTTGTTGCTGATAAGGAATTTGTTGAAAACCAGTGTTATATATAATGATGACAATCATCATGATCTTGAAGTACTATGAAGTAAACATTATCCGTGATTAGGCTACTTTATAGTCCATATATTGTTTGTTTGGCATTACAAAGTGCATTGATTATTACAATGATTGCTGTATACATTATGTAATATGAGTTAAAGATGGAGAAATAGTTTATCACCCCAAAGTCTTCTGAACTTTGAAGTTAACAATTTTTATTAAAAATGGGAAAAGGGTATTTGTTATGTGTATGTTGAGATTTAATGATAAATAGATTCACCCCTCTTTTTTTTTTCTATATAAAGTTTATACACATTTTTTTGTTTTTTTCTTCTAGTGAATACTTTGATTATTAATGATTAGCATGAATTTAATAAACTGATGACGCTTTCTAAATGTTACAAAAATCAAATGAAAACTACAACATACTGTAGGTAAAATACAATTTCAGATAATTTCTCAATTTCACATTTCAAGGAAAAGATAGATGTATGGCATTACAGTAGTAATAGCAAAAGAACATTATCCTATTTAGGGCACTAATTGATACTTTCTCACATCCAAGTTCAAGACAGAATGTGAGAGTGTTGTGGTTAAACAAAAAAAAGAAATGTTGGAATTAGTGCATTAATGATCGTATTTCTCTTTTTTTTCTTCTCCAATTAAGGTATCAACAAACATTTGAAGAACTGCTGGAGTATGTAGAGAAGACAGAAGAGGAGGATCCAGTTTTATTACGGTATGTGTCTCATTGTATTTATTACCTTTGGACGTTTACATACATTGTGCAATCTACTTGTAAAAATGAAATTGTTGAAAACTACAAGTGAGGACTGATTCTTTTCAAATAGGGGCCTCCGTTTATACCCTTGCTTATAAACAGTAAACATTTATTATTTTGGTTTGTATTGGGGCTGCAGTGTGTATGTTGAATGCCTGACATCTCATTAAAACTTTTTTCCCTTTTTTATTTGTACCTCAGATACATAAATCAACTCACCACGATAAGGAACAGGCACGTCAACGTCGTTGAGACAATGGCACAGGTACGTATATCTTACAGTCTAACCCTGACCCGTATTCCCAGGGTCCAAATCTTCTACAGATAATGCAGAAATAGAAAAATCACGACTCTGAAACACTGAACTTTTGCCAAGTAGACGCCAAGTTGAGTCTTGACTAGTCTCATCCCAAGACTTTCACATTAGTTATTTAGTCAGTCAGTTAGTTAGTTAGGTTTTGCTAAGTAGACTCCAAGTTGATTCTTGACTAGTCTCATTCCAAGACTTTCACATTAGTTATTTAGTCAGTCAGTTAGTTTCTTAGTTAGTTGAAATTAGCGTTCTTCGAAAGTATGAAAACTGCCTGCATAGCATGTATGTGTGAAATTGTTATTAAAGCATTAGGAAGATGTCTGTGAAAAAACACTGACAAATAATAATAATAATAACACTGACAAATAATAATAATAATAACACTGACAAAGTGCGACACAGTGAGACAGAGAAATTGAGTATTGTGCACTTTTTACGTTGAACATACTCCTATACTTATGACCTTGCAGGTACTCTGATTCAATCGTTTATATATGCATTTTTGCAATTATCTTGCAGGGTATACTGGAAATGAGGGAAAGCTATAAAGTAGACCAACATGAAGAGAACAATGTACAGTATTTCCTGGATAGATTCTACATCTCAAGAATTAGCATCAGGATGCTCATCAACCAACACAGTAAGTTATGAACCAATTTTGAAGACCGCTCTAAGGAGACAGAATATGTGGTCTTTATGAATGGGTGATCTTTCTTTACAGGTTATAATCGGTTTCAGTGAGAAATACTTTCCAAGGGAAGTCAAAAATATATCTTCAAAGAGGAACCACGTGAACAGGCCATACACGTTGGAAAACCAGGTTTCACTGTACAAACGTGGCCCCCTGGAAATTATGATGTCCAATGTAGTGTGAGCCCCCCCCCCCCCCCCCCCCCCCCCATCACAAAGTTGTGGGCCATAACTTATTTATGACTAAATGGGATGGCTTGAATGTGTGCAACGTTTAAATAAGATCAGAAAACTATGTCCATTTCATCTTTTTATATCGGGTATGCTTGCTAATATTGTTAAATGCAGGCCCATAGGGCATAGATGTAGGTCACTTTACACCATACTTCCCTTGTATACATATATATTTTGATATGTGACATATTTCTTTATACTGCTATACTCACCTTCCTACCTTTGATATGCTTATTAATCATCAAGTTAACTTAACATGTAAATACATGAATGTATGTCGCTTTGCCCAAATATTTCCTAATACCCGCCGATTCCCTCCTTTATTGATCCTTTTCAGCATTGATGTTTGGACAAATACCCACGACGCACCCTCTCCTTGTTGGTAGTATAGACCCAAGTTGTGACATCGTAGCTGTAATAAGGGGTAAGTAACCTATTGACATCCGAAGTGGGGGGGGGGGGTATTTTTTAAATATTATTGTACAGACTTTTTATACAAAATACATGTATATCATTCGTGCGATCACCAAAGTCCAGCATCACTTAAAGGAAATAGTTTTTGAAACTTCGAATTTCAATCATAAATATCTTGATAATCAAATGTGCAATTGGCTTGTAAAAGTCATGGGGTTCCTGACTGACCTACAGGTTTATATAATGACTGCAGCATGAGCTAAATCCAGGATTTTGTTTAGAATCAGAGGCAAAGGTACCCAATCCCTTTAAATGTAAGAGTGGCAGGACCAACGGTACATGTATTTGTTATACTTTGTCACATAAAAATGGCATGTTTATGAATAATGAACACCAATCAACCTTAAAAGTATCATTTAACCTCTTATTAGTGCATTCCCATGCTTCAGTGGAGGGGGGGGGGGGTATGAACTATCAGCCATATAACAATCAGCCAGACCAATCTTGGGCTTGCTCTGTGGAATGGACAAGTGGGTCCAAAGTCTATATATATATCGTAACTAGGGATCTTCTTGTAGGAACAATGCTCAACACTGTGTAGTCATTAGCCTACTTTCAAAAGGTCATTTTCACTTTGTTGATCAATAGAACAAAACAAAACAAACTCAGACTGGAATTTGTCTCCGACTTAATTAAGTAATCTGCAGCAGTCTGCGCATGTGGTGGCGCATATGTGGACACTAATATACCTGGATGGATATTGACCCTTGACCTGAAGTTTGTGTGTACCAAATTTTGTTGTTTTTTAATGACTAGCAAAAAAGATATGATTAATTGATTACGCAATTATTCAAAATGACGCCTAGCTGAGGTCATGGTTGAGTGATCACACTGTGAGCGAGAGGTTATCTATTACTGACTAGTACCTAATAAACCCCAAGTACTTTTGTGATTGATATATATTGATGATCATCATCATAATCCCCAACTTTTCTTTGAATCTTTACTATTAGATGCGTATGACAGTGCCAAGTACCTCTGTGATCAGTATTACCTTGCTTCACCTGACATTGATGTGAGGTGGATTGATGGTGAGTATATGATTATCTTTCTTTTATGTGCTTAGGGCTATTTAGAGTCCGAGGGACACTTTATTATTGCTTATATATAACATTCAATCGTGGATTGTTTTGATGTTAATTGGACAAATTGTTAGAGTGTTTATGAATCAAAGAGTTTGTTTTGTGCATCTTTTCAATGGGTTTTGTCTTAGAAAATGCATATGCCACTAAGTGTTTGCTTTTTGAACAGGCACATACTTGGAAACATTACATCCCAGCCAAGTGGAAATCAAATTTGTCGAATAGAGATGAAACTACAGCTATGAATAATGTACATGGCTTGCAAAGTGTTGTTATAACTTAGTACTGTTGTATTTACTTCTTCCTACAGCTCGTGACGGCAGTGACAGTATACGAATGGTGTATGTACCCTCTCATCTCTATCACATCATGTTTGAGTTATTAAAGGTAAGTACTCACGCTACCTGCCCCATTATAGTAATGGAAATGGTAATGGTAATAGTAATGGTAATGGTAATGGTAATGGTAATGGTAATGGTAATAGTAATGGTAATGGTAATGGTAGTAGTAATGGTAATAGTAGTGGTAATAGTAATGGTAATAGTGATCATAATATTAATATGATTGGAAATGGTAATATGAATGGTAATGGTAATAGCAATGGTTATAGTAATGTCAATGGTTACTGTAATAGCTATAGTAATGGTAAGGTAATAGTAATAATAATGGTAAAGTTAATGGATAAACATGTACTCCTCAAAATGGCAGTATTTAGCTTCCACATCATGCATTGGATCAATGTACTTTTTCTCTTTCTCCCTCCTCACCCGTTAAAAGGTGAATGCGCGCAACAAAGAACTTGTGCCTATTCACTGAACTCTGTGTTTTAAAATACAGAAACGTGAAGCCTATTAAATTTTACATCATTTAAAAGAAAAATGCTGCAGTATTGCCGTGTCATGTCTGAACAAGCCTTTAGCTTTGTAATACATTCTGAATGACGTAACTTTTAATTTATATTATACTTATTGTATAGAATGCAATGCGTGCCGTGATGGAACACAAAGGACCTTCTGCCTCTGAATTCCCTCCCATTGGAATCCTAGTCACCAAGGGGAAGGAAGACGTTACCATCAAGGTAAGTAAATAAGATCAAGTTGCTTCAAGAAACAACAAACAAGGGTGATGGGAAATTTAGAATGAAAAAGAATTGTGTTTTTGTTTGTACATGTGAACTGCATGTAGACCTTAAAGGGATCCGGTAACTTTGTCTCAGATTCTGAAACAAAATCCTGGATTTAGCTCATGCTGCAATGATAATTATAAACCTTTAGGTCAGTCAGGAACCCTACGACTTTTACAAGCAGATCGCCTGTCTGATTATCAAGATATTTATGATTGGAAATGGAAACCAAATTTTGCGTTTTCCTAACAGTTTATATAACACTACAGTCCATTTGGGAAAACGAGTATGGTAAAACAGGTCACTCAAAGATTTTTACTTTTTTGAGGCACTTCTTGATCATTTTGAAGCAAATTTTTTAGGGCTTCAATATTACACCATATCACAAACACTGATAACACATTAGGGCCGTGCATCTCAGATTTAACATTGTTAAACGATGGCTTTAAGTGAGTCAGCAATCAAACTAGACAGTTTCACAGTGTTTTATCAGAAGTATACTATTCTGAAAGAATATAAGCATGTTAGTTAAAGAACAGTGTTTTGTTTGATCAACCTGATTCATTAGATCCATATTGACTATTTCACCTTTCTTGACCAGTTATTGTAACTTTTTATTAATAACAAGTTTTATGACACCAGGCCCGATCCATCCCATTTTGTATACCGCTTCATGTGTGAAATCATTGGATGATGCAATTAATATTGTTGCAATTATTATTATGTTGCAATTAATGTTATTATCATATATATATTTGTTAAACTATAATGTACCTCATTGTGTTTAACAGGGCCTCATGGAAGTCCACCATTATTGGTGATAATGAGTCACCCTGTCTAAATATCAGAAATAAATAAATAAATAATTTATCTTTTCCCATCTAGGTATCGGATGAAGGAGGTGGAATTCCTAAAAGTGAGATTGATCTGCTCTTCAACTACATGTACTCCACCGCCCCCGCGCCTCCAAAGCCTGGTGTCAGCATAATACCACCTCTGGTAGGTTTGCTAATTAAATGACTAGAAAAAAACTATGGAAATAAGATTTTCTACCGTTCATCATGTTGTTTACATTGTAGGACAGGCCTTGCTGCTATGAAATTTCAAGGACTGAAAATGTTAATTTCTTTTTAAAAAAAGAGAGGAAGAAAGACACATAGCATGTACAGTGTGCCGGCTCTATCATAATAATAATAATATTTGGTTCTTATATTGCGCAAATCACATGATATAACGTCTCTATGCGCTTCCATAGAGCATGCATGAGACCAGTAATACCGTACAGCTATTGATATTTTAATTATTTTTGTCAAGTATGCACCTGAAAATGTGTACTGGTTAAAGCAAAGTACCTTGCTTCACGCAAAAGCACTGGTCAAGAGGTATCAGTAGTGGGCTCCCATGGGGAATTCAACACCATCCAGGTGTTAACTTAATAACAGGTGTTGTCAATCACCAGGATTAGCCTTCAGTTTTATGACCAGCAGGTTTTATGTTATGCTCTCAGAGCTGCCAACCATTACATTTTCCCCAGAATTATTCTGTTTTTTTCTTCCAATTACAATTTTTTTTGTGTGCACAACAACCAAATGCCCTACAATATTGATCACTACTTCAATAGTAAACAAAAAAAGTGAAAGGTGTAAATATTCTCGAAGAGAATGAATTGCCGATAAACCATCAACAAAAAACCTACTTGTAAATAAACTATGGGTCCTAATACGGAAATAACAGCATTAGGAATGGACATTTCTGCATTGGAAGTGTGTTGCTCGTGGTTGTAAGTTTTGTTTTAATGAATTCCTTTTTTTGGCTCTAAATTCATTTTTTTTTTGCCATCATGGTTCCTTTTTTTGGTTACACAAGGTTGGCAGCTCTGTGCTCTGCATTTTCCACCCATCCCCCATATTTGGTAAAGTCATTATATTACAATACCCTTACCCGAAGACTCTCTGAGAGACTAGGGGGTACTTCTTGGTGGGACCATGGGTTTGCTGTGTGCAAGACTTGTACGCCCATTAATGGTATTTCCACCAAGTCTGGTGTCAGCAAATTATGACCTTCTGCACATGGAAACTGATAACCATCTCCCTGTAAAAAATTGGTGAAGTCGGTAGTGTAGTGCCATTGGTATAACTTCTCAAATACACCATACTTCAGTTACTGAGTCACATGGATAAATCTTTTATCTGGACCTACCTTCAATACTTACCTACAGTCAAATATACAAATTAGCCTCATCATCGCATTTTTTATTTAGTATTCATTTCGTTTATTCTGCCATTGTTTTCTACTTTCTACATTTAGGCTGGCTATGGATATGGTCTCCCCATCTCAAGACTGTATGCCAAGTATTTCCACGGTGACCTGACGCTTAGCTCCATGGATGGCTACGGCACTGATGCAGTAGTCTACCTCAAGGTTTGTACTTAATTTTTTTTTAAATAATGAATACTAACTCCACACAAAAAATCATTAGCCAAATAAATACTGATTCATGATTATGATGTCATCGGATAAAGTTGATGTATTGCTATTTTGATAGATTGTGTGCCTTGCATTTTACACTATTTCATTGATATTGGAAGACAAGGTTTGCGGGAAGGCCAAAATCTCTGTTTTAAGTTTTAATTTTTGCAAATTTTAATAGGTAAGTTTATTCTAGAAGTGCCCCTAATTATTATAATTAACATTTACAGTTTTTCCACAATATGTTTATTTTCATGTGATTTCCAGCAAGTTTCTGTAAATTCATTCATGCAAACAAACTGGTGGTCGTTCAGGAGTCCCATGTACTTACCGACCAACCATTTAAAGTATCTTGAAGAAAATAAAATGAAATGTCAAGCTCGGTCATTATCCAGTGAACCCGGATAATGAGTTTAATGACAAGTATGTCAAAAAAAGTGAATAAAAGTAATTGGTCTTTTTGCAAGTAGATCATAGTAGGCATACTTGATGGATTGTAACAAATTCTTTTCCCATGAAATGATTGAACTATGTTTGCTGAGTAGAAATGAAAACGAAATCTTAGAATTTGTCTTACATGTATGATATTCTTTTCATCTTACAGGTACTATCGAGCGAGGCTTCAGAGCTTTTACCTATCTACAACAGCGCCGTGTCAAGGTATTACAAGACACCTACCCCTGCAAGCGACTGGAGTACTCCGGGTTACTTCATTCGAAACTACACCACCAAGAGATATGGGAAATAAATGATCTATGAACTCTTAAGGATCTCAGAGAACTATCCCAGATGAAAAGCACATACTCCTGTCGCCAAAAAACATCTCTAAGGAGTAAGCAGTCGTTTTTGGAAGAGAGGAAACACATGCATTTGTGATGGATGGCTGTCGATATTGCACCTTTCGAGACTGATGTTAAATATGGCTGTATAGCTGGACAAAAGATTCTCTTGTCATTGAAATTTCACATAGCGTAGGGGCCTTGTGGGAATAGTGTGTGTGATTGATCGAAGCTGAATTAGAATACACCTAACATGTTGCCGTTACATGTTCACTGTGGCTTAATTGTGCAGCAAGGAGTAAAATCTGTTGGCTGATTTATTTGCATTCAGTGCACTTTTTCTTCAGCCTTTTATTAAGCATTGTACATCATGGTATATTATCATATTTGCAATGCAATATGTGCTAAACTCGTGTGCATGTGGTATACATTGATTGCATGATCTTTCAAATGTTTCTTTTGTAAATTGCCCATCTTGCTAACATATTCCAATTTAATGCATACTTGTTATCAAAGGCTGTCTGTGACATCCTGACAGCTTGCATGAGGCTTCCCCAACATAGCAACACATTATGTATGCAGACTGGATTCCAAGTATTGTAGTTCATTCATTAATAACAGGTTAATGGAATAACTTTTCAGGAAAAAAACATCCATAAATTTGGATATGTTAGTAAACGGGTCTATTACACCTATATAAACCTCATGTTTATCCCAAAGGTGGGCTTAACATGCAAATTTCTTACAGAGCAGTTGATCTTTGTTCTATACTTATTTTTAATTGGTATAAAATCATTGGCTACTTCAGATGAAGATGGTTCTATTATGACATCAATAGAACCTGGAAATTGCATCTTTGTGTGATCCCAGTCATGATACACAACTTTGAAGGTCTGATTTAAAGCTCACCATGATTTTTTGCAAAACGTGAAATGTGTTATGACGCATTAAAACTGACTTTAGAGAGTGTTTCTCAAGCCAGTCATAACAGAATTGCTCTCCGATGTGAAGAGAGCAAGTGTGGAACTTGTACATAGCTTTCATATATTTTTTTATAAGTTGTACATATGTTATGTAATTTATAGTCATAATGTGATACGATTATTAAAGTTGTAGATAAAAATATATATAATCACACCGGTACTAACATCATCTCCATGCTCAAATCTTACTGGAGTGTGATTATACGTCATTTGATTTTATTGAGACTCGTATTTCTTGGGTACCGCAATCCTGTCTGCTGTGAGCCAGAAGGGTGTGTAACTGACATAACTTACATGTATGTACAGTTTAACTCTCTCCTAGCTGGCTCTTAACAGATAATAGGTGTTAGGTTCATGCTGCAATGACAATCTTTTTAAATTGAATAGTTTTTTTGGTCCTAGACCTTTGTGGAAACTACAAATGTGTGTCAAATATTCATATTCCTATTATTTTTTTTATTTTTTTTAAATCTATTCCTATTACTTTTTTCTTTCTTTTTTTAATACTTATTCCAAATTTGCCATTTTTCTTTGGAATTGTCACAATCAAAGCAAAGCTATATCTAATATTCTTATAAAAGGAAAACAATGACCCGTCTACGTGGAAATGATAAAAAGTAGTGTTCTCATTATAGATCAAGAATCTCCTAAAATAGTTTTCTTGAAAACAAAATATCGGCTGTTCCTACAATGGACTATAGCCGAATAGTCTTTTAGCGCACAAATTTGTCAGATGAATGGTCCTTGTGTAGGATCTGCCCTTCCACAACCTAAATCAAAATTAGTTTTATCAATGTTCCAATGTCCTCACATCGGTCAAAATAGAGTAGAAATCATAGTCAAAACAACATCAATTCAGAGAGTCAACAAAGTAATACATGCAAAAAGTAGCTGGGTCTCTCAAATTAAAAATACCCCAAAACTAAGCAAGCATTTTGAACTCTAAATTTAAAACTAAATTTGTTTTTTTCTAAAAAATTCCACCTCGGCTGTAGGTTTTGCATTCCGTGTGTTCTAAAAGTTACAGAGTTACAGAGTGGAAACTTGGCTAATACTTGTGACCGTGGTGATTGTAATTGACATTGTATGATAATTACTTGTTTAAGAATTAAGGCATAGAGGACCAAGCATTCAAGATTTTCATTTAGATGCACTTCTGTCCCGATGACCCTGTCATAACAGTAAAGCTTGAAGTTTAATGTTAACATTCTAAACATCAGGCTGATGGTTTTAACGATGAACTTCTGATTTATAGATCGGCCAGGGATGCTAAAAGAAACATCCTCAATTGATGGTGATGATCATTGATATTTCTCTACCAAAACACCTTTACTTTCAAAATGTTATCATTGTTGTAACAAGTACTAAATATGAGGTTCTACCACACCAGTTTTTTTGCAGTTTACATTTTGATAAATTTAAATCTATTACTAGTATTAATGCTGCAAATCATTTTCATTCTTCATAATTATTACATGAATGTACAATTGATGTAAGTTAATTATCTTATCTGTATTATGAAGTAGCTGCATGCTGTATAGAATTAAAACAGAAAATGCTGGGAAATGTAGACTTCCTATGTTCTCTTTAAATTTTGCAGATATGCTCTAAATTCATGATGCAAATGCAACTGTATAAATTTCAGTTTTGGGTAATGAAACACCCAAATCTATCATCAACTCTTATTAGTTTTGGTTGTCTCAAATGGTTTGCACTCTCCACTGTAGTTCATTAATGACTTGCCATACAATATACATTAATATTTAGCAGCCGTAGTTTACTCCAATTTTTGTTTTTGTTTACAATACTTTAAATTGCATATCAGCAATGCCCATTTTCAGTGCTATGATATACATTTTTGACTAACCTAATATTCATGATGCTGTTTTCTCAAGAAATTATATGTACCGTATTGTTAAATCAATAATCGAAATTGCCAGTAGCTATATTATGTACATTGAAGTTGTGATGTGATGGAAATGCTTTTATATATTGCAAAGTACAATGTGTGGTAATATTGACCAGTCGTATTGTCTTTGGTAAGGGCATATGTTGCAATTTGGAAGCTAGCGATTCTTTCCAGAAGTAGGAATTAAATTATCACAGAGCACTATTAATCAATCCTCCATTGTAATGTATTTCCAGAAGGGCTCTTGAAGTTTTGCTGAATGTTCGAGAGCCGAGATTTGATATCATGCATGTTGTCTTGTAAACTAGGTCAAACGTGCCATTTATGTCGTTAATTCAATAACACCTACAAAAAAAGAACTAAACAACTGGTGAGTAAGATATTTGAAGCTTTAGCAGTGATTGGGACAATCTTTTTTTCAGTTCAGTACACCTCTGTTAATATTTTCTTCCTTAAAAAAAGAGAAAAGAAGGTGATTTACTAATAATGACTTCTTGCCTGAAATATTATGTAAGTAATAGAAATTCAGAAGTATTATATGATAATGTACTAATCCATGAATGTTAAAATGTAAATAAATAAATAAATAGTGAGCTACATAGATGAAGAAAATAAATGTTTATGATACAGGATGTAATTAAGTCGCCCTTTTGAGAAACAGGTAAAAGAAGAAACAATTAAATGACTCTATTACTACTAGAAAAAACTATTCGAGCAAAATTGGAACTACCAGTATATCTTCTTGCCTATTTGACAACGTATATTATATGGCTACTCAATTTTATATATACATGTATATACGGTATGTATTTACATTGTAGATAAAAAAAGCAATCATATATATACCGGTATATATATATATATATATATGTGTATATATGATGTTATCAAGATTAAATGAAAGTTTTAGTAATTTTCAAGAAATTCATACACTTCACAATATTCAAAGAACAAGCCCTTTTCCTCCTTGAAAAATATTTTCCAAATGAGATATTCTCCAGGATATTTTTTTTACGTTTTCAGCATAGTTTGGTGCCTTTGTTAAATATATAAATATACAATGTGTATATAATTTGACTCAAAAAATGCTTACCATATATTGAATTATAGTATAACGGTATAATCCTGTTTCAAGTTTATTTTAAATTGCTCAATTGTAGTTCTTTTTTATTTAAAAAATCATACAATTTAATACCTGTTGACTATAGCCTAGGCATGGTTATTGTAAGCTGTAACCTCCTGTATTAATATGATTGTTATATTCATGATAAGAATATGAAATTAAAGGTAAAGACCAGTATTGGTAACGCCCCAATTTCAAAAAATGAAATGGAAGCTCTCATTACCAATCATGTGAAAGAATATGTTTTGACTAATACATGATGATAAAAAATTTGCCGGGAAACCGCCTACTAATTCATATATTTGGTAAATTTATTTCTCTCATGGTCGTGTGAGAGAGATAGGGTAGTCCCATATACATCTTTCTGTGTATAGTGCTTGGAACTTTACGAAGAATGGGCCAAATTTCTTATCATTTTGATGATTCCAGAACCTTGCAGATGCTAGATGCTAGATGATCAACCTTTTCTGATCGATTCCACAACGTTTCTTTCACAATGCAATCGCATGACCATTACTGGTCTTTACCTTTAACAACATGTTTGGGGGTAAATATTCAGCTTATTTTGTCAATGAACATTAGATTGTGAAGATGTGTGAAATAAAGCTGCAATAATACATCAAGATTAGCCTGCTTTCTCATTTGTTTGTGTTTTTCATATTTCGGGAACAGATAAAACGAACGTATGGACTCGATCATTTTTTATTGTCTCGCCTGCGTAGCAAAAAGCGAGACATAGGCGCCGCTTTTCCGGTGACGGCGGCGGCGACGGCGAAGGCGACGGCGTCAACATCAAAAACTTAACCTAAGGTTAAGTTTTTGAATTTTTGATATAATTTATAAAGTATAAGTTCTTAGTCAATAAAACTTTGACTATAGGGTAATCAAGTACCCCCAATCATGTGAGTTGAATTTCAGATCACAAAGTCAAGGTCAAAGGTCATTTCAGGTCAACAGACTTGGACTATGTTGTAGCATCATCATCGAAAACTTAACCTAAGGTTAAGTTTTTGAATTTTTGATATAATTTTGAAAGTATAAGTTCTTAGTCAATGAAAATTAGACTATAGGGTTATCAAGTCTCCCCAATCATGTGAGTAGAATTTCAGGTCACAGAATCGTGAAATTCATTATCTATGCTAATTTATGCAAATTTATTCGAAATCATAAAAAAGGCTTCTTCTCCTTCATTTCTTGACTGATTTTGATTTGGTTTGCTTTATATCGTAGAGCTAACTTTGGTACACTAAACTTCTACACAGAATTTTGAAATTGTTTTCCATTAATTAATTATGCTAATTTATGCAAATTTATTCGAAATCACAAAAAAGGCTTCTTCTCCTTCATTTCTTGACCGATTTTGATTTGGTTTGCCTTATCTGGTAGAGCTAAATTTGGAACACTAAACTTCTACACAGAATTGTGAGATTTTGCTCTATTGATTATTTATGGTACTTTATGCAAATGAAATGAAATTACAGTATGTCCCTTCCAGGGCATCAAATTTTTATTTTTTGACCAGTTCAAAAGTGTACCACATAAAATTTACGATATTTGTTGTTGCGAGATGCGGATGAGCGCTACGTCATTGACGTTCTGGTTTATCATATTGAATTGCGTTATGCAGGCGAGACCGCCGAGAGCGTTTCCCTTGTTTTTTTATTTATTTATTTTTTTTTTTTGGGGGGGGGGGGAGGTGAAATTATGAAGGTGTTTTTTTGTAAAGCATCTAAGTATCTAGTTACAATTATTTGTCTAGAGAGAGAGAGAGAGAGGAGAAGGGGGGGGGGGTTGGGAGATAAATATAGAGGGGTGATATAAAAATCTCGGTATGGGGAATGGAAATTGTTGCAAGCAGAGGAAAATAATCAATAATCAACGTAGACAAAGTTTGAACAAGTACAATACAGGGGGAAAGAGTGAATTAAATATATACTGACAAATGTTATATATCATTTTTTTGTCATATCATGTGCAATGCAATTTGATTGCAGTTCCCCAGTGTACGTGTTGAGCTCAATTTCTGAAGGTAACTACATCAAAGGTGCCGCCCAAGCGCAGCGCCAGTGAACTACAGCAAGATCGACGACGTGGTTTCCATTGCATTGCGAGTAGATTCTAGTCGGAGTCTTGTTCATCTATTCCGTCTGAAGTGTGTGTGCTGTCTTGATTCTGAATGAAATTGTAGTCTAGATGATAGATCTGACGAAGAAATACGGGCAATTTTAGACATATCAGGTGAGGTTTCTCTTTCTTTTCCAAGGTTTTTATCGAGGTTTATTCACGCTCTTAACTTACTGTCAAGTCCCAATCATAGTATTCCATGTTAGTGTTACTTACAGGTCTATACTCGCCTGTTTAACCGTTTCTTTCAAGCTAGATCTGCCAGAGTCTTAGTTAAGTGTAGATATGAAGATCTTTACCAGTCCTCCGGCCTCCTCACTCCTCCGGCCTCCTCACTCCTCCGAATCATGAGTAGGGATGTGTAGGGATGTAGTCCACTACAAATACAATTTTACATTATCATTGCCACTGGCATTATCATTGAATCTCCTTTTTTGTTTTTGCCAAATATTTTATTTCAGCTTGTCTCGAATCTTGACTAGTCTACATGTTGATGTTACAAAGAGTTTCAATATCTAATTCAATGATAGATCTACTTTTGTAAAGGTTTGTAGATCTTAGAGAACGAGAAATCAGTCTGTGCCGGGACATCATGTACTGTTCTGCTGATGCCGAGAGTAAGGTTAAGTACGTCTGACTTCAGTGATGATGATGATGATGTGTGGTACTAGTACTAGCAAGTGAAGGGGGGGGGGGAGCTGAGGACATGCTGTTGAAAGGAGAAAGAGAAGGAAAATCAGAGGCTAGTCTAGCCCATAGAGAGAGAGAGAAAATGTGAAGGAAAATTTAAAAAAAAATTATACAAAATGGGCTTTCAGTTTCATTGATTCATTCCATCTCCAAGTGTATTTAATGAAAGACAAAAAGTGAGAAAGTGAGTGAAAAAGAGGGTCGAATAAGGAAGATAGACGGAGTAGGGAGAGGGAGAGAGAAGATGAGACAAACAAGACAAAGGAAAAAATACAAAAACAATACAATAGCAAAAACATAGGTGGATTGTAATATCTTTTTCTCTTTGACACTGAGCTCGTGTTTGCATTTTGCAGAGTGACATGCGAGTGGTATGCCAATATCATTTGTTACAAATGCTAGGTAACTATCTATTCTAGCAACATTCAAGGTAAATTTCTTAATGTGGCAACAATGTATTCCAGGATTTTCAGAGCATTTCAGGTTTATGTAAAATCTCACTGGAATTGAATGGGCTGCCTCTTTTTTTCTTCCAATGGATTGAATGATCAACACGACCAAATTTGAATTATTTATTATGTTTGCCCATTTAGTCTAGAGGTGTCTAATACCTTGCAGACAAGACGAAAGCCTCTTGAAAATCTTGTGATGATTACATTTATCATAAAATTGATATTTTATTTGATTTTTATGTCTTCATTATTTTAACAGATTACTAGACATTTCTACATAATAAAGGAGAGATAAATAGCATGGCAGAAAAACCATCTCAGGGGCAGGGATCACCGGGAAGCATCCCTCGTGGGCTTATCAACAGACGAGGGAGTGTCATCAAACCAAGTGAACGATTGCCCTCTCTACGCACGCGTGACCTGACTCTAGGAGGCATACCCAAGGTAAGGTTAGCCATTCATAACAATCATGGTAATTAATCGCTCTTATTCATAAAATGTAAGTACACGATTGATAAAACACAATGACAAAATTATGAAAATGGGTTTATTTACTAAATGATTCAAAAGAGGTAATGGAGCAGTAACCTGACATTTGCGTTTGCTTTATACCATAAAATTTGTGGGTTAGGGTTGGGGTTGCAATTGGGTTTTCTCAGTTAGGTTTAGGGTTAAGACAAATCTAGGATTTAGAATTTTTGTTGGCAATGACTGCCGAGTAACTGTTGCTAGGGTGTGTCATAGAACCTTGGGAGCACTAATACTGGTAAATCTATTCCATATTGTTTCCAGAAAAAAGAGCCATTCGGAAATCACTGTCATCGAAAATAATATTCAAGATTTTCCACAGAAAAACAAATATAAAGGTAAAAGAAGTGTAAGAAGTTTTTTCATGAGACTAAACATAAAACATGTCCAGTAGTTTAATGGTCATGTTTTGTTCTTTTTATTTTCTTGCAGAAATCTTTCAAACCTAATATTCCAACAAGGCGAGACAAAAGTAAAGATGAGTAAGTAGATTGTATATTTGTATTTTCTTTAGTTTAGGACCTGCAGAAGTCAGCATTCCAAGACAAATTTAGAAACAAACAAAAAACGTCTTTTCTCTCGATGTGTTGCTTACAGTCATATGACTCTTGAATTATTAGAACTTCTTGAAGTCAACAGTTGAACAAGAGAACACTGCTGACAGATTAATGTTTGGTTTGCTTGTTTGTTCATTTGTTTTACCACCTTTGTATGGTGCATTGGAATACTCATATGAGGCAAATTTTACCATAAAAGCTTAACCTATCTCATGTTTAATCAGCTTTTGATATTGTACAGTCAAATCTGCTTTAGTGACCACCTGTCTACAAAGACCACCTGTCTACAACAAGCACATGTTTTGTTTCTCTTGAAACATGTACTAAAGGAACCTGTCTACAAAGACCACTTGTCTACAAAGACCACTTTTTGTGTTTCCCTTGGGTGGTCGCTGTAGACAGGTTGGACTGTATTACATTTAGGCGATATAACAATGTTTCATTTAACAATTTTTTTTTTTATTTGTTAAAAGCAGAGGAGAAGCAGCATCATCTTCATCATCACCATCTACATCAAGAAGGTCCGGAGATGGGGATAGGGGTGGAAGAGGAGGCAGAGGAAGGGGAAGAGGAAAGGGGAGAGGTAGGGGGAGAGACAGGACAGAGTTTATCCAGTCCCATTCATCCATTTTTGAGGGAGGCCCAACAGAGAGAATGAATGCAAGAGGTAAGTTTAAACAAGTATTGTCTTTTACATATTGAAACAGAATACTATCAGATAATGGCAATTTACTATCAAGGACTATAGGTTGACATAAGGGCTAGCCATTTGCACAATTTTAATGATAAAGATTCACTATCTTTCTATACTGTATGCAAAAATTAAACAGGAGATGTTATACAACGTTATACATCTACATAATAACATAAACATGTTTTATGTTTTTATGCATGTAACACAGATATTTTTAAGACTGGTTTAGATAAACAGTGGCTTGCCAAACAATTTTGTGTAACATGACATCCATGCATGTTGCACTCCCGTTTAAGTCGTTAACTGTCAGTTGAACTTATATTTTGGAAGACGACCGGAAGATATACAGGATAACCTCACTCTCGTATATCAGATGATGATGATTACTGTTACATCTCTGCTTCAATTCAAAGTGCTGCATTCAATAGTTTTTTAATTGACATTTGTTATTGCATAGCTTCTTCCAAGGTGTTTGAGCAGCCAAGTTTTCGTGGAGGAGGAGGGGGAGGAGGAGATGGAAAGTTCTCCTCTAGGGGCGGCAAAGGTGGCAACAAGAAGAACATGAATGGAACTGGAGACTTCGTTGGGGATAGCGATCTTCTGAGAGAACTTGTCAGAGATGATGTAAGTGATAATAATGATCATGATTAATGATTTGATAATTTATGAATTACATGATTTATTGAGAATACTGAAAATACATTCAGGTTACAATAAAATCACATGAAACACATAGCAGTGTTCCAAAGATAAAATTAATAAGATTTTTTTTTTAATTAAAAAAATTGTAGAAGCTTCTTGCCCAGCTGTGTTGTATTTTTTCAAAGTCATTTTCTTCATATTATTTTCTTATACATGTATCTTTCTCTTTATATAGTTCATCAGTGACCTTGGAGATTCAACCGAAGATGATAGATATCAACCCATTTCATTACCCATGGCTAAACCATTCAAACCTCTTAAAACACAATCAGTGAAGGATGAAAAGAAACCAATTATCAAAGAAGAAGATTTGGATGTGAAGATGGAGACTGATGATGTGCAAGCTGATGAAGATGTCAAAGGTAACTTAGCATGAAGTCTGCGATAAAAGGATGATTTGGATGATATAGCTCTGGAAAACACTAACATGCAGTAGGTGAAATGGGATTATGTATTCCAAGATGCACCTTTCAGTACATATATGTATATTATCGTAGCATTTCTAGCTATGTCCCATGATATGAAGAACTAATCAGGGATGCCAGTTGTCAGGCACTAGCCTGATTTCTGGCCCTGGCCAGTTATTTTCAGACCGTCACCATAGTTTAGGCTTTTTTTGTGTACAAAATAGCTCATTCCAGGTGATTTTCAGGCCCTCTGATCAATTCTAACTGGCATCCCTGACTAATGGTTAAAATCACTTTTGACCAACATTGCTGATCAAACAGTATACAAATAAAACATCCTTTTTTGGGGGGTGGGGGTGGGGGGGGGGGGGGGGGGCTAATCGCATCTGTGCATGCTACATTTTCATCTACAAGTATATATATTATGTGTCTGGTTGTTAATTCATAGACTCAAGTCTTTGATGCTTGCTTGTTTCGGTATAATGACCAAGTATTTATGACCCCCTCTTCTATAAACAATGATCCTGATCTTTCAGTCAAGCTTGAACCCAAGGATGAAGTCGACGAGGACATGGACACCTCGGATGAGAAGAAACCAATCTCCGGCCTTCTACCACCGGTCTCCATCTCGGATGCCTTCCAAGATGACTTTGACACTGGAAGGGTCACCTGTGCGACAATCTTCAGCAGGAGGCGGAAGTCCAAGGAAGAGCCCCTGTTCTTCCAGCTCCCAGACACTCTGCCTGGTCTACCGATAGTGGAGGAGGAAGAGGAAGACAAGAAGCCCACTATTTCAGCAAGTGGGGGTGTTGAGAAGCCAAGCAGTAGCTCAAAAAAGGTAGCAATCAAAAGCTATTAAAATAGTCAGTTTTACTGGATCTTCCTACTCGATCTTCTTGATGAGCAAATTTTATTCCCTCTTGGTCACTGCCCTATTTTGTTTATAAGAGTGCTACTAATGTTTTGTAGCTATGCATAGAAAATAAAGAGTTCTATGCATAGATAATTGCATTATATAAATCCATACTAATATGGTAGGTAATCCATTAAAAACCCTGTTGTATTGCAAATTTATGATTTTGTTAAACATTACCCAAAATTAATGTCGCCAGCTGTACCTATTTAAATATGTTATTGTTGTAGAATGATATCATTTTTGGCACATATGATGTGCCACCGACTGTCGATAACACGATTCTTGGTTCGAGTCCCATTGTGGTACTAATGTCCTTTGGCAAGACATTAATCTACAATTGCCACTCTCTACTTTAGTGTTAAATGGGCACCCGGTAGGAATGTTAATATGGTTGGAGTGGCATGTGTGTGCTTGTAAAATGGCACCTGGCAAAAATACTCTCCAGGTAGTAGAGCGTGTACACTCTCATGTGCTGATTAGCAATAAAATTCAATGACCAGGGTAATAAAAATAGCATTATAAAGCACTTCGAAAACGTAGCATTAAGTGCTATACAAATTTTACTATTATTACTATTATCTCTTTGGACATGAGAGCTTAAATTGCATTATTTATTGCTTTACAGAGACCCTGCACACTGAAGGATCTACCAGAGGGGTTCTTGGGTAAGCTCCAAATCTTGAAGTCGGGCAAGACGAGACTGGTCCTCACTAACGGGGTCACTCTGGATGTTTCTATGGGAACACCTTCCGGCTTCCTTCAGGTAGGCAGCAGTGTAACCTTACAAGAAAAATGCTGTGATCGTTGTGTTCCAAATTAAGGTCAAGGGTTCGAACCAACCCTGTAACCATTCCTTGGATCAGGCGAAATCGGATAATAAATTCCGATCGCCGATCAATGACATTTTTTTGTTTTAATGCCAAAAAAGTCTTAGGCTATCAAATGCTAAAAAAACATGCATAGCTGGCATAATTTTGTCATTTGGAGTTGTTGTAGACCATGCTTCTTGATATTTAGTGCCTTTTCATGACTTTGAATTTGAAAATATTAGTCTAATAATAGAGGCAAAACATGCGAGCCGCCATCTTGGAATATAATGTAGGCACACATTTTTTGTCCATTGTCATTAAAATCCAAGATGGCAACATGCATGTTTTGCCTCTATTATTAGACTAATATTTTCAAATTCAAAGTCATGAAAAGGCACTTAAAGGTGCGAGGGTATCGCTCCGATCCGACCAACTTAAAGGGTTAGTTTGAACTCCTATCCTTAGACAAGGCATTTTATCAGTAGTTGTCTCCCTTGACCAAGGTGTTATATGGTTACCTGGCAGGATTTATTTCTTGAAGTCAAAGAGTTGTGATAATCATAGTTTGGAGATTCAGTCTGGTTATTCCAAAGTAATTTGTAAGGTCATAGAGACAATTTATCATTATATGGTAGAGGTGATGTGGTCTAATGGATACCTCACTGGACTGGATCACATAGTTCATGGTTTAAGTTCCACTGTGGCCTTAATATCCTGGGGCAAGACTGTGATCTACATTTACCACTCTCTTCCCATCCTGCCCCCCCCCCACCAAAAAATATATATGTATGTATTTATATAAAAGCTTATGGCCTGTATTTGGATTTTGGATTGCTTGATTTGAAATGAAGACCACATGGACTACGTGGTGGAGATACAAGTGATAAAATATGACTTTTTCTGTATGTCACATAGAGGTTACACTGGCACAGCAAAGAGTTAATCACCTTGCATGGTAATCTATTCATTCTTCCAATTTATTCCGTTCTCATTGATAGGACCTGGTTTCCATTCACATCCGAGAAGGAGGAGAGGAGATGAGTGAGATGCTGACCCTGGGGCACATCAAGCATCGTGTTATATGCACTCCAGACTTTGAGAGCTTACTATCTATGCCCACCTGATGAAAACCCCTCTTTATAATGGACAGAAAGGATTTTGAACATTTTCTTCTTCTACGAGTCAAGCTGTGGAGACAGACAGCTCAAGGGAAACCAGAAAAGCAGAGATTATAGTTCCTGATCAACAGAAAGGATTTTGAACATTCTATTCTTCTACAAGTCGAGCTGTGGAGACAGTTACCGGTAACTCAAAGGAAACCAGAAAAGCAGTTATTATTGACAGTTGGTTGATGCGACAGGTGTTATATGAACAACATCTTTAAATCCCCACAGCACTAATTGTAGCTACTTGCGTCCTCTATGTAGCAAACAATGACCAAGCGGTGACCATTGGTCCCCCATGGTCCCCTTTTTTAATGTTAATTGAAAGCTGATTTGACGAGATAACCACCTGTCTGTGATGATGCAGGGAGGTCTAATCCCTCCTGGCCAAACTAGTGCAGAGAGGCTTTAAAAGGTCCACATCCTTAAAATGCAGTTTAAAATTATCTGTGAACAGATGATAAGCATTTATGCTTACTGAGGTTTATATTGTGCTGGTCTTTATGCATATCCATCCAGGCCATATTCTGAAAAATAAGTTATCTATTATATAAAAGACATTAATGTTAATTGTTTGAAGACCAAAAAAAATCAATTGTTAAAAAAAAAAGATTTGGGAGGTGGGTGTTTGCACTGTTGCTTTGTTTAACTATACATGTGCACAGCAAATTTTACAGATGTAAACCAATGACTTGCCTTACTTTATATTTATGATGAATATTTACATTATTTTACTATCATAAAAGATTAAGATGGTTTTTAGAGTACCACTCCAGGCCATTGTACTCCACCTGTAACCCTGTCATATCTCTCTTACCTGAAAATGAAGGTCTTTATCATACTCAAAGAACACCTTATCTTATTGTTGCAGTACAAATTTTAGTTGGATGAATGAGTGTTCAATGAATTCTAGTAAATCATGCTGTCAAGAAACTGAAGCTTTTCCATTTCAATGTAATATTTGGGTGAATCATTGTGGAATGAAAAAGTATTACATTTTAATTTTCATAAGTTTTGCATTCTTGAACTGTAGCCCATGGGCCTCCATTCGGCCCACCAAACAATTTGGTGCAGCCCACCAATATATCAAGTAAAAAAAGAGAACAACAAATGTTGTTTTTGTTTTATATTGTTGCTGTAATAAAATGGATACATGATGCTACACCTCTGACTATTGGCAAATTATTTGCTTGCTAGTGAACCTCGAGAACAGTAAGTGTTTAAAATATATACCTCAGATATTGTTTGAAATAGGTTCTAAAACTTTTTTGTAAGAAATGAAAATCTAGCATTGTTTGGCATATTGCCGCAGAAGGAGATATTGTTATATCAACAGATATAATGGTAAAATTTATTTTGAATTATGTACAAATATATTAAACATTCAAAATTTATTCGTTGAAGCCAGTTTTGTATTTTTCCCCCATTTGGTTTAAAGGTTCCTAATAATCGACATCTTCAATATACCACTGGATGCAAGCTATTTCAAATTATTGGGATGATTATTATTTTGTATAAAGCACAGGGCATACTGAAGGATGTGACCCATTTTTTTCTTCCAAGAAAGCTTAAACATTTGTAATTTGGGCTCCTAATGGTCATCATGAATAGTAATATTAAAATTGTGAGGTATTAAAGGTCTTTCAGTCATAGGAAAGGCTGTAATCTGCATCAATTTGATTATCTTGACTTGGTAGCAGAATGTAGAATATGATCTTAAACATTGCTGCTTTCTTTCAGTCTTGTTTGGTAATATTTATACAATCTACTGGGTATGTTGGTTATGGTTACCCCCAATACGTATGTAGTTCTGATTTGACAAGGGCATTGAGACTGAACAGCTAAAAGTATATGTCTTCAGGTCCTATATAGATTATTCTGTTTGGAAGTCATGCTGCAGTTGTTTTTTAGAGTTGTCTTCAGGTCCTATATAGATTATTCTGTTTGGAAGTCATGCTACAGTTGTTTTTTAGAGTTGTGTTTCATTGCAAATATGTATGAAGGAGGCTGCAGATCAAGAAATTTGATGCAACTCTCTCTCTCTCTAACAAAAAAAAAGAGACGATGTTATGCGATCGGATTGTCATCTGACTCTCAAAATGACTTTTGTAGGTTTGAGTCCCGTTCTGAGCAGCAAAAATTCAAAAAAAAGATTGGCGTTGCGTTAAGTGTAAGTGTGCCCTTCCCCTCTAGCTCTGTTTTCAATGCGGGCTTAGGTTCAACAAAAACACTCCGTTCCTCGGACTAGAACGTTAACTAGAGACTGCAAGTTACTACGCCACACTGCTCGCAAAGAGTAGGGTGTGAAGCCGGTGTTTAGTATGCCTGGATACTCATTACACAACTGGTAATCTACTTACAGATCTTCAGAGATAGGCGGCATAGGCCTTTGAAGATTACATGTAGAAGAAGAAGAACTACTCTCCTCTGCATCTCATCAGTTCAAATCTATTGGAAACATTATGGGATGTTGTAGAATTTCTTTATAACTATATACTGGGTATGCAGTAAAAATTCCATATTGCTTTGAAATGAAAGATATCAATGTTTTAACATTTCCTCTGATTCTGCAGAGGTTTCCAGTTAGGAAATAAGGGTTGGTGTTGAGATGCATTTTCGCCCCAGCCCTGCCCGCTCTTCAGAATTTACTGTGTATTGTATGTCTATACAAGTATAGTACATACTGAAGCCCATTTAGGAGATTTTATTTACTGTACTTCATTAATTACAGTATTCTTGAGATACACTACTCATCTTTACAATACTTTATGATATATGTTGTCACTTTCTTTCATGCATAGATCAATTAAATTAAAGCCCCAATCTCCTACTTGTAGCTACTTGCTCCCTCTATGTAGAAAACTTCCCCAATCGGTGCCTGTTGGTCCCCCATGATCCTCTTTTTCTAATGTCAGTTGAGAGCTGAGTTAATGAGATAGCCACCTGTCAGTGACCTCGCTGTGTGGTCTAATCCCTTCTGGCCCAGTAGTGTTGACGGTCTTTAAATGAACAGACTTTCTTCTCTCAAACAGGAGTATTTTCGTTTTTATTTCTAATTGATGTAACAATGTACTTATTTGTGTAAAATGGCCTTCAAAGAAAGTGAGCAAGTACAATCTGGTTCATTAAAAAAAATTGTTGATAAAAGTTTTTGTTTCTAGAAAAGTAAACATATTTATACTTTTACATAATATACACATCTATTATTGTTACAGTGAATGAAGAGTGTGAAATTTATCTGTAACTGACAAAACTCAAATAAAAGCAACATATGTATACAATATATGATGAATAAATGCTAAAAATAACAGACAGTTGTGGTTATTTTCTCTTTTCTTTCTAGTTTTAAGAATAATATCACAGTTTATATTTCATTTCGAGATCACCAGTTTTGCAATAATTACTCAGTACATTTTGGAAGTAGATATCCTGCATTTATTTATTAAATGAAATGAATTGAATGAAGGATTATTTATATCTAATCATAATTTCAACAGTTTTCCAGAATTCAGACCATTTTTATATACAAGGATGAAGCATTTCAATGAATCCTTAATAGGAAGTTGAATATAACAATATGTATATAACGAAAAGAATTTATAAAAGCCCACAAGAATCTAAATTGTTATTATATAGGGCACATATGCCTATATTAAATGGCACCCAGGGTGCACACAAATTAGGGGGAGGGAGGCCCGGGAGGGAGGCCCGGGAGGGAGGCCCGGGAGGGAGGCCCGGGAGGGAGGCCCGGGAGGGAGGCCCGGGAGGGAGGCCCGGGAGGGAGGAAGAGGGGGAGGTGCATGGTATGGCTGGTTGACTGTACATCTCAATAGGGAGGGGGTTTGCAAGTACCCTTTTCTGCAGCAAGAACTTGTTTATTCAAGCGTATCAAACACATTGGGATACACGATCAGACCATGGACCCTACCACAAATGATCAGACAGATAGATTTGTGATACAGCCAAGGAGAAGCTGATGAGGCGAGCAACGATATTCGATCAGCGGGCGCTACCGGCGATTTCAAGTTACATAATCTCTGAAAATGGCGTCACCAACTGGAGAAGGACCGAGCAATCCTCAGAAGCCTCCCGAAAAAATGAGGAGGGTAGACTTTTCTCGAGATGATCTATCAGTACGGGACAAAGAATATATGGATAAGATGACGGGCGCCCACAGGAAAAATGTCGATATTCTGTCTAGATCGAGATATGTCAAGCGGAATAGTTGGATGGCACTTGCCCTGGGAGCTAGTGCGCTCAGTGTCTGTATCCTTTCACGTGCATAACTTTTATTGTAGCCCCATATGAAATGATTTATGTTGGGTGTCGATTGAAAGTAGTGAGGTTGTAAGTGAATTTGCAGTTGGTAGTTGGTACGTTTGAGCTCACTCGTTAAAACTACTGGTCGAAATATATATCTACCCCTAGGAGCTCACAATGTATTAGGAAAAGTTACCTCTATAATCTACTTACAATGGAAGAAGAATAACATTAACATTTTGAATGCTTACTCCTGAGTTTAAAAAATCTAACTCGCGCTCCTTATATTAGCTTTAATATCTTTAGGAGTTCTGATATCTTCCTTTATGAATAATGTTCAAACAAACTACCGTTGACCAGTTTTTCTTAATTTTCAGCAATGCACACTGAAACATCAGATAGCAATGCTTTTAAAATATATTGATGAAGACGTCGGAGGCCAGCAATTTACCAAAAGTCCAAACATTGCACGGTAAAAATGCATTTTCTTCACCTTTACTTTGTAGCATGATCAAATATAAAAATTATCTTTCCTGAATTTCATATTACTTTTTTCTACAGATGCATACTCCATCTATTCTGTCTCGCAGGAATCATTTCTGGAAGACCTTGATACACCAAATAAAAGTTCATAATTGAAGAGGATCATTCTTACAAATCTTAAAGAGATTGCACAATTTTGCTCGGCAGACCCTGAGATGAAGGCTGCGTAAGAAGGACCTTTTATTTCCGCATCTGAACTTTGAGATGTTTAATTCATGTGGATGGAATCTTTCACTTGGAGGAGAGTTAGCCTTCTCTTTGAGTACTTCCTGGGTTTCAGCGAGTGCAGCCTGAATATGAAATTGGAATATGCTGTTTCCCGTTGAAGATCTGGAGCAGTATACAAGTGGTTAATAATAGAGCAATATTTTGATTATCAAATAATGAAACTAATTCATAACTTTTGTTTTATTATGGTTGAACTTGAAGAATGATGGCAGCACAGTTCATTCCCCTCCACCTTCATGAAGGGATTTATAGGCAAGGTATTTCCTTGATTTATTATTGGTTTATATTTTAAGAAAATCAACAATTTATTGGTACCTTTATTCAGAAAATTCTCTTTCCAACAAATGATATTTTAGAGACAATAAGACATTTTGTCAAATGTTTCTCTTTCTATTCTAAACTTTTATGAACAATTTATATTTTCTTTATATTGAGGCTCAGGCCTGAACATAAGATATTTCAGATTTGTCCTTTTTGTATGAATTTAGATTTATAATACTGTTTATTATGTTATTTGATAGCTCAGGTAGGAGTTATGTACCTCCTCTAAGTTCCTTCCAATTGTGCAAATGAACCAAACTCCATCATAATACCAAAAACAAAATGCATGACATGTTATCATCAATTTGATCGATGGTTGAGAAGCAAAAATGTAGTAAGCAGCAATATTGGCACTTCAAAAACATTGTCAATTAAAATCATAAATTTCTTGAGTGACATGTGCCAGAAATGTTTTGTTACTTTAGTTGAACAGATTTGATTGGCTTATTTGAGACTCTCCTCACAAGGACTGCTGGTCAACAATTATCTATAAATACCTGAAGTGGCTATTGTTTGTAATTGCACAATATATACAACAACATCAAAAATCAAAACATGATCAAACCTTATGTAACATACATATATTCCTGTTTGATCTCATAGTATGTTTCACAACATAATATTTCATAATCTTGTTGTTCATGTTTCTCCTAGCCTAACGATCTGTATTTGATATGCTACATTGTTTTTGTCCCTTTGGTTTGAAAAAAGATATCAATTGCCACATCAAGGCTCAATTTTTGTGTTTTTGCAATGAATTATGATGAGTGTGAAAAGTAATTGGAATTGCAGTTGAAGATCATGACAAACACAAAATATATAATTGTTTTCATATATCACCACCAAAAAATTGAATGCAGTTCCTTGGTAATTTTAGCAAATTTCCAGTCTTGTATCAAAGATTACACAGACTACAGTGATAACAATGATTTATATTTGTTTAACACTAATTCCCAGTGTGTGTTATGTTTATGTTAGTGTTAAGGTAGCATAATATTGAGTTTTAGAATAGAATGCTACATTGTCAAATGTCAAGTAACAAATTGATGTACAAAATAAGAAGCCTGTAATGTCATAAGTCTAAAAGGCAGGCTACATAATACTGTAATATTAGCAAAATAGCATGGCTACAGTGGCCACAAGATTTGTCATCTTGTAAATTGCATTGTGACTCCAGCAGAAATAAATATATGGCAATCTTTACTACTTGTGTACTGTTATCAAACATGCATGATTCTTCTTAAACAAAAGTTAGAATACAGGTGATGTCTAATATGGGTTTGTAACATTTGGAATGGTCCACCATATATTGTAGAAGAAATGAAGAAGTGAATGATGGAAATGATTTTATTCAGGAATATGCAATACCCTTCCCACTTGTACATGTCTGAATTTATATTCGCCACATGTTTGATGTGTCTGCTTGTCTTATAGACTTTAAACTAAAGATGATATAAAGTATGTAGATGTAGTTGATACATTGCCCTTTTTTATTTAGCTATTGAGAATGTTCTTCATGCAAATAGAGTTCATAATATGCTGAAAGCCAGAATGGCATCAACTTGTATACCTGAATACCCATTAGTTAACCCATCGACTACGGGACCCAGGTGGCTCCTGTATTGAAGCCAGTGAGAATGAGAGAATTCAGTAGTCTATGGGTAAATGACTGTTTCAGAGGATTCACTCT